TCGCGTAAATGCATGAGTATGCATTAATCGTTATATATCTTTTTGTTGTTGTGTTGAATTAGAAACAAAAAAAGATCAACTTTCGACGTTGAATCTAGTTGGATATATCTAACTGATCCTTTACGTACTTTGTTGGTAAATTCTTGGCAGCCTATCTAATCAAATTTCAATCAGTTAATTCTTGCTCGACCCTCGAGTGTAAACACAAAGGGGAATCGTGAAACAAATCAAAATAAAAAAAAAAAGAAGAAAGAGAAAGAGCTTTAATTTTTTTCCAACTCGCAATCAAGCTAAAGTGAATGTGCACAGTAGAAGGAGCTGGGCCGTCGCTCGAGGCAATGAAATTAGTTGGCGCAGCGAGGCATTGTAACGAAATTCCAGGAGAAAGCAGAAAAGTAAAAGTATCGGCTATCGGAACTCAATCGAGAGTCCGAGTGTGAGAGAGAGAGAGAGAGAGAGAGAGAGAGAGAGAGAGGGAGAGAAAGAACGAACTGAAAGTAAGAGATGAACAAATACAAAGTTCAGAAGAGAGGATATCCTGGATAGTCATTGAACTCTGCACTTCTAAGCTGCTTTGCCTGTGTTTACCTTAGATTGGCAAATAATGATAAAACTACAAAGGAAAATACTAATATAAGTCGCAATCGATGTGTGCATTACAGTGTGGGATTGGGTGTGCGATTTGTACAAACAAATAACTCGATTATTAATAGAAGTAAACTTTTAATCGATCGAAATCAAAGAAGAAAAGATATATCCAGACGGCATTAAAAAATTCCAGCGGTAAAAAGTAGGTGAAAAGCCATTGAGATACACTTAAGAAAAATACAATTAGATATATAAAAAACGTGTATTTAACGATAAGACATAGGGATTAAAAAACCTAAATAAAGGAAAAAACAATGTTGAGTTCTTACACAAATAGCAATTACCGCACACAAGCCTAGGCTCGCCTTCACAAAGAGAGAAGTTCGAATGGTCATTTTAGACGAACAACTACTCGCCTACCTGAACGCCGCCTGCACTCCACGGTGCTAAAAGAAAGGAGCCTGCTGGAGCAAATGTAGCACCAATTGCTTGGATGCGGGCAAAGCCCATACTACGTTGCTCTTGTGGATCAAGATGGGCTAATCTGTAGCCGTTGGCACGGAAATATCGAAAAGTTGGAGACACCTCAGGGTGATATTACATACATTCTTACCTATAGACTGGTAGTGCCGACAAAGGCGATAGGAAACGCCCTCGTCCGTTGGGCTTGGTCGTGGATTTCCAATCAAATGCAGCGGAAGGGAAGCGTAGTTCCCAAATCGGTTAAATCTTCCGGATTCTCTACTACCTGAGCGCGGCACTCAGCGAATCCTTTCTTCTTTTCTTTTCTTATGCACCAACCGAGGTCCAGCCATTTTCTAAAGCCCAGCGCGGACCCTCAGGTGATTGAGGTCGGTCGGCACCGAACATTTTGTTTTGATTAAGCGGCACGGTGGTTTCTCGCACGCGCCGAAATTTAAACGCGGATGAATTAAGAATGCGTAGTTTTAACTACAGCGTTCAAGCACCAAGAATATTTGATCAACGTTTTATTTCGATTTTTCTATCTTTTTGGCGTCAAGATTTCTCTAGGTTGCAATATTGTATCATTGCAAAGCTATTTATGCTCATTTTCAGCATGAAGCGCGCACGAATGGCAGTTTTGATTACCGAACAGGAAAGTTCAAAAGCAACCTGGTCCCCATCATAAGGAGTACAAATGGTGCAAATAGTCTGTCTGAGGATTCGTTGATGGCACATTCACGCTAAAAGCCGATACTTTATTCCAAAGGACTTAGAAGGTGAATGGATATAGCTACCATATATGATGAATCTCATTATCAGACCCTAACGTTGATTAGAACCAATAAGGTTAATCTCGCACCTTGAACAGTTACAAGATATTATTTCATGATCATGCACAAATATTTTATTCTACTTTCTATCTATTTTATTCGTATTTTTCCGCAAAGAAAAAATCCAGAAACATAGAATTCGATAAAGTATTTAACTTTATTTTTATAGAAAAAATTCATATTTATTTATGTATGGTCGAAAAATGTGATATTTATGGTAAATTGATGCCTGTTCCTTTCAAGAAAATACTACTTCAAGTTCACAATGTAATTGATGAGTCGTCAAAAAGAAAGTATGGAAATTTTACGAGTATTTCGTATGACGTAAATATTACGTTTTGATTTTACAAATGCATAACTGCAGAATATTTATTAAGTTTGAAGTTCTATGTGTATTATTTTGAAATTTAACGCTATCATCAATCGACGAAAACCCTTAAATAAACTTAATGTCGCTCAAAATCAAATTGGAAACAAGTATTTTAGTATCAGCTCTAGGTTATTTTTAAGAGAGAGAGAAAGAGAGAGAGAGAGAGAGAGAGAGAGAGAGAGAGAGAGAGAAGGAGGATCTGGAAAAAGTCCTTTTGTACTCGTGGGCTTTGCAGCAACGACACAATGTCAGCACAATGCACTTCACGTGACTCTGCAGAATACAAGGGGAGTAAGGAGGAAAAGGCAAGGGAGATGGGTGGGTGGCATAACAGTGGTGGTAGCCAAACGCAATCTTCGTAGTCGCCAACGCCACAGGCAGAGGGGAGGAGACAGAGATAGAGAGAAAAGCCATCGAGGCAAATCAGTTTACCAGTAACGTATTTCTTGGGCATGATCTGCTCACGCTTGCTTCTGGATTGTCTTGGTTTCTAGGTTAGCGAATCGCCGAACCGTGAGAACGACGGAAGAAGTAACGAGACTGTAGGGAGTTGAGTCGCCTACTACGATGCCAAAAGGATTATTGCTATTGAAATTGTTAGCGGGAGATGGGTTACGAGTACGTGAAAATTTCTTCCTCGACGAGCTGTTTGCTTTCTTCTTGGCGTTGCTGATGCGTGATGAAATGCATGATTGATAGTAGATGAAAAATTGAATTGTTCCTTATTTCATTTTCTGTTGTACGCTGGTACTTAATGTATCTGATACTCAATGTTTCTAAAAAATGAACATTATTGAAAACTATTTGAATTTATATGAAAATGATATAAAAACATATTTATGTTATCGAAATATAAAATTTAAAGCAAAAGAAGCAATTGGAAAATATATGTCTTTGATTAATTCTTCTGACAAAAAGTATTAGACGGATTTTACTGGAAATGTGTGCGCAAGATTGATGGTACCTCTGAGATTCCATTAGAGTGATTCATCAGATTCTCGCTTGATCAGTGCAAATATTTGAGTGAAAGATATAAGCTCACAGGATATGTTAATTATAAAAAGTGCTTACTTTTTATATATATTCAAGATTGCTATATCTATTACTGTATGAAGTAGGCTAAAAGTATTCAATTTTCCTAAATGTAAGTAGAAAAGAAAAAGGAGGATAGAAATAAATATACTCGTAGTAAATTCAGGAAGGTAAAAACGATCAGAAGTGTAATGGTGAAGCGAGCCATGGAGAAAATTGAGGGATGAGATTGTTCGCTCGGAAGAGAAAGAGAGAGAGAGAGTAAAAAAAGCGAAGTGTAACGCGAGAGAAATGTACGGGTGGATAATAGAATGAAGGGCGTACAGAGAATCTGACGCTGCCATATAATGAGTGACAGGGTAGACTGCTCGGAAAATGTGCGGCAACGAATATCATTTGACGCGAAACTGATATTTTTATGTATATTTGATGAAGGAAGAGTAGTTTGATATCATTTATAAGGATATAGAAACTGTATTATGATACGATAGAGTCTCATAAAATATTGATGAGTGAATATTTAAAAATTACATATTTTTAAAAGAGATAGTAAATTAAAAATATGGCCGATGAATATATCTTTCAACGTGTGATTTTTCATTAAAAATGAAACGTTTATAATATTTTGAACTTGAATCATTTAAAAATTTGGCAGAAAATAATTTAAAAAAAAAATTCATAATTATTAGGTTATTCACAAAACTATTCTAGTATCGATGGACAATTTATTTCCAATAGTTCAGAAGAGCTTCGAGTATAAAAGGTGCAAAAATGGAATAATTCATGTTGTAGGGTAGAGAAAACGAACGTTTCCCACAAATATTAACTTATCGACACAGATATAAATTAGCTCTTTATTTTATCATTAAAAGTATAATAAGAAGTTAATAAAAATGTCTTAGAAAAATAGTTACTAATTAAATTTTCATCATCTTCCAAATAAATAACGCAACAAGCATTTTTCTCTGAACGCATGTTGTATGCATTCTTAAAAAAAAGTGATAGTAGTTCGTTCATTCTGTAAATTAGACGAGAATAGAATCAGAATACAGCGAGCAAGAGGGAGGATAAGCTTGGCACCTCGCACTCTCGCGTCGATAAATCGCACGATAAAAGTAGAGCGCGAACAAAAGCGAAAAAAGGATAGTAAAAGAAGAGAATTACGAACGGACAAGGAATCCGAGCGCGTACGGATCGAGAGCGCGTATAAAAGTTATCGGGGCCGAACTCGTAAAGTAGTTATCGCCGAAGCGAGCCCCGAAAGTGTTTCCTATAAGTAAAACCACCATGGATTGACTTGTCTTCGGCGCCGCCCTTCTTCCAAGTACGCATAGAACCGACTCACCTTTGTGCTCCTTCTAGCTCTCTGACGAAATTATACTCCCAGACTAAATTAATGGTATCGCATTATTTCGCGACGTCTTGCTCTATATCTTCTGTACTTGCTGCCAACTTATTTTTTTCAACTTTTATACATATTTTTTTGTGGATAATCAGATAATAGCAATTATACTTTGTGCGATGAGATGACATCGAATGGAAAATATATTTCAATGCTTAAAATTATAACACAAGAAAAATATATCATCAGAAGTTAATTTGTTTTCTATTACTTCTAAACATTCTTAAATTGTAAGATCAAAACAGATGAAAGGAAATGGAAGCAGGGAACAATACAATACGAAAATTGGAGAAATAAAATAATGAATACTTACTCAAACGGGACAGTTTGAATGGATCTGCAGTGTTTATGATGTCAGCGTAAACTTGTAGTTCAAATTTACGGCTGGTATTTGTGTTGTAATAGTTTACTGAGTACTCGAAAGCCGACTTAACTTCAACGGTTCCTTGCTCGAAAATTGCGCCTACAACAAAAATATAGCAGTTATTTACGGAATAATACGGAATCTCAGTTGTTATTTCAGATTATTCCATTCAGTACGATAAAATCATTAAAAAATATGATTGGATATTTGCATGAATGGGCTTAGCGATATCAAACGTTATCGCAGCTATAAAAACCGGAATGCTCGAGACATCGCAATAAAGCGATGTATCGTTTCCCCTTAAAAAAATCTCGTACTCGATGAAGTAGCCTCTTCTGGCCTACAATTGCCTTATATGAATTTAACGATTATTTAGTATGCATAAAAACAGACATGGCTTCTGTGTTTAACTTTTATTTATCAAATTGCCAGTACCATTGTTGGTCCGTTAAAATGTTACAATTTTTTATTAAATTATAAATAAACATAGTTCAACATCACTTATGTATACTAGATATTGTCATGAAAAAATTTCGTTTAGATATTTTTCAGGTTGATTTTCACATTAAAAATAAATTGTCCACACAGGGATCTTCAATCCATCAATAATATACATGTACCACTGAGTTTCTGTTTTGACATTTTTCCATCGCGAGTCACCCACGCGGGATATGCTGCAAAATCACAGCAGCAGCAGTAGCAGCAGCAGCAGCGGTAGCGACAAGCAACAAGGGACATTGCGCAGCAGGGGGATTTAATGGCTCGACGGTTCAGTCGCACGTGTCGACGTTAATTCGAATAATAAGGGCCAACGACACGCTGGAAATGGCCGACTGAACGAGAGTCAATGCGCTCGCGTACGACTCTGTGAATTTAAGTTAATTTAAGAATTAAATTTCAAACTCACATTTTAACGGTGGTCGATTTAAATTTCATTTGCTGAATAAGCGTGAAGTCGACGTGTATGTTATACATTTGCATAGGCGGAGTGTATGATACTGAAAGCCAACGTCGACATTATGTTTGATTTGATCAAAGTTTGTACACTGAAGATAAATGCATCGACAAATCAGTCTTGAAATTGATATTGATGCGCACGCCAATAAGATACGTGTACAACTAATTCATTGGATAAAGTTCCGATCAAAACTTATCAATACTGCTATCGTTTCGGCAGATATATTGCTACCATCGTACACGTGAATTATCAATTTTATATTTATTTTAGTTTAAAATTATGTAATTTAGTAAAATATTAATAGATTTGCAAGTAAGTTAATAAAATGAAAAAAAAACATGAAAAAATATTGGATGCCTGACAATTTATGATTTACACTACTGAAAAGTCACATTGCAAGCCTCTATTCTTGGTGGTAATCTTCGAATCGATGTTCGCAGCGTATTTGAAATAAAAAAAGGCGAATGTAATATTTTACCGAGTCAGTGATATTCGCTGTTGAGGGCATTATTTTGAAGGTGTCCCACTCGTTGATCTATTTCTCCGGAATATTTGAGTAGCTGTATATTTGTTGTTTCCATCACGCCATCTTGCGGTCGTAGTATAAGCCGTGATATTCTCTTCCACGTCGTCTAAAAAATGATATTCACTTTGATGCCGAAATCAACGCGCGACATGCAACGCCACCGCACCACACAGGTACACTTCTCAAATTGAACATTCCCCTCAGAGCCTATCTCGGAGGCGGCGCGTGCCTGCGCTTATCAAACTCGGAGACCTTGCTCAGCTGCGTTTCACTCGCAGACACGTAGCATCATCGACTTGTTCGCCTGTGTGCGAGTGTGCACAAGGCAGACTGCAGTGTGTCTCTGCGCGTAATTACGCGGCTCATGCCTGGCATTAACAGTCAGTAACATACAGCATGCGAGCGACGACTCCTGTCGTTGATTACGGATTTACGCGCTATGCCAAGGATTAGCTAACCAACGACGATGGAAAGCTCTGTCGCTACTGCTGCTGCTCTATTTGACAATTATACTTGCAAGTGCAGCTTTTTCCTCGCTCGTTGTATCATTTGTGTTGTAAACAATCACCGTCATTAAAAAATACTTTCACGATACGAAAGTTCTAAAGTACATTCAGGTTCTCATTAGAAAATTTTCTTCTCCAAGATAGAAAATTATTAAGCTCGACAATAATGTCTTGAAAAAACAGTCGAAAAGATGTATCCTTTGACAGATATTCCGAGGAAATATATTTTTTATTCTTGAGCTAGAATAAACTTCGTAGTACGTTTTACTGTTACAATTCGCACGGTTTCATATCTTCAGCATCCAGCTATAATTTCCAGTCAATGTTCCCTCTTCTTCTTCACTTTCATTAATATCTCACGCAGCAGCGAGCTTGACTATTCAAATGTAGGGGCCATGCAGCAGGGAGCCAAGTGCACATCTCGCCACGTGTATATATATTTATACATGCAGTTTAACGGCTGATAAAGCCCTAGTCCATAATACAGAAACTCACGCGGGCGGCCGGCCGGCCGAGGAGATAGAATGTGGATCACCACGACGGACACACGGGCGCAGGACGAAGATGAAAGTTCATCGAACAACGGGCGCGGGCGCGTAACTACGTGCACGGGACGCCGTTGCATGTATAATGTATTTGTGAATTTGAAACGTATATGCATATACATAAGCGAGCGCGGGAAGCTAGAGATAGGCGTACATATATACAAAGAGATGAGGAGCAGGAGTTAGCCTATACATAGAGCTCGGGCCATGTGTGTAACAAGCCGATTGTACCGCGCCTATACACGCGGTGTATTGATACGTACGCGGATACGCGACTATGTCTGTGGGTGTATATATTGCTGCTCGACTAGCTAACGTCTGATCAGCGTGCTCATGCTTGCCTTTGTAGACATATATTTATATCGGCTTCTCTATGCGACGTTCAAGTTGGATTATTTCTACATCAAGCTCTTTGCTTTCATCTCTATTTATTTCATTTTTTATGTTGTATAGTTAAATTTTACAATGTGAAAATATATTTCATGTGAGAGGATGGATAAATCACAGTTATAACGCTTACTCGTACGTTAAAGTCTGCGTTTACTTTGTTAATCCAATAATAATCAAATTGTAGGCCTTCGTAAAGTACGAAATGTATGTCTACAAAAAATATCAGTCAAGTCCTTGCGTCAAGATATCACAGTTTTAGAAATGAGAGCCTTCGAGAAACCGCTATTCCAGTATTTTCTTTTTATGTTGACATTCGGGGGACTTAGATTCATTAAAACTGTTTGCGCACGCGAGAACCATGGAGAACCACGTGACCCGGCCAGTAGGTTCAAAAAGGAGTAATCGCTCGTAAACAAATTGAAGAATGAAGGCGTACGTTGATTGGAAGACCTAGCTCAGTAGCGCACAAACACACGTATCAACCAAATGTAGGATCGTTAGTTCACCTTTGGTCAATTCACTCTGGGCTCTGCAAAATGAATGTATATAGGCGAGAAGCAAAAGCGTAATTATGGGTCGGGAAGATTCCTAGAATTTTGCGGATTTAAAGGTTTTTGTATTTGTTATCTGAATTATCGTACTGTCGATACGAAGATAATAATGTCAAAATTGCTTTTTCATGTTAAAATATTGTTGTATTATTAAGATTCAATGAATAAGAAGTGGATTTAATTATAGTAAACAAAACGAGTTATGAACATTAATGGCTATCAATGATATGACCGCAATCGTATAATAGTTATAGAACACTACTAGAATACGTAATAAATATTGCAAGTGAATCTTGAAATGATGAAAAATGCATTCTTCATACCTCCAGTGTTCAAATCAAAAAGTTCAATGTGAATTCGAAGCGTAAACGTCCACGTCGCAGTAACGCATTTCCCCTTTGACACATCGCCGATGATTGCCGCAGTAAGAAAAATGTCAGGAAGGAGTAGCAGAAAAAAGCTGATTGGAGCGCGCATTTGAAATTATTGTCCAATAATTCGTGCTCTCGTGGAAGCATGCCGCGTTCCTCTCTCTCTCTCTCTCTCTCTAACTCTCTCTTTCTCCCTCTGTGCCGTTGATATCAGCGCAGCAGAAGCTCTCGAGACAGGAAGAAAAATGCGGCTGAATTGCAATCTGATGTAAGCGTCTCTCGGCGCTCGCGCATCTCTCAGCCGCGTGCGCGAGAGAAAGACAGATTGCAATAACGTAATTGTAACGAGAAGCGGAAAAACTCAACAAGTTTTCATAAATCATTCTCTCGCGTACGGCAAAGATAAATTAAGAGGTGGAAAGGAACGAGATAGAGATATAAACACGAAGTGTCTGCGAGAGGTGAACTGATAATTGTAAGTGTTGTGCGAGCTTTGCTGCTCATAGTGCAGCATGAGGTCGAGTGAAGACGCCTGAGCGCGCGATGCCCGGAAAGCGAGAGACAACAATCGATAGATGGGCGGCGGCCCTTCTTCACTTCTCATCCACGTTAGCTGAGAGATAAGCGCTTGCTAAGTTACACGCCCGTTTTGCGTTGAAACTCACTCGTTGATGAATTCAATTTTGCAATTTGTTAGTTTTGCATTTGTTAACATCATTTTTCGTTGGTGATTCGATGGTTGGTATTTATTACGCCGCATTCTCGTTATTTTCAAAATCTGTTAGACGAAACTGCAGGCAATTGATATTTATAACAAGTGTATATTTTTTATTATGAAAGTATAATATATATGTATATATTAAATATCTATAGAAATATATATATATATATATATATATATATATATATATATATTCTAATAAATTTTTATTATTGCTTTTTACTAAATATTGTTTTACTATTAAAGATTAATTATAAATTGAACGCGTTAATCACAAAGTTTATCAATATAAACTGTAAAAAATCACACTGGTTGTAAGATGTAAATACACGTTACTAAACGAGTAATAAAGTAGACAAAAACTCTACACGTATAAAAATCTCTATTTCGGTAACATGTCCGCAGGTGATAAACGGGGGAAGCTGATCAGACAAGATTTTTTGTCAAAGGGCACGATCTAGCTGTTTCATTGGCATTTTCGTAGAAGGCATTGGCGTAGAACG